GACCTGAAATCTCGAGATGGGATCCCATGGAGAACTTTTCTAAGTGAATTCAGGATTGTCTTTATTGATCTATAAACTCAAATTTCACGATTTCACTTTAAAAAGTTAACAAACAATTATGCAATGGTTTTAAGACAATGTCCTCCTAAGATTTCTTCTGGTCGTTGTCAATCTAGTTTCACACGTTAAATTCGTTAGATTCTGGTGAATCATGTGCATTAAGAAAAATAATAGTACAAGTTAACCTAACCACTAAGTGCGCTGTTACATTGGCTGACACGGATATTGAATTAAGATTTTTTCAACGAAATATTTGGTTTTGTTATATTTTATCTCGGAATGTCTTTTTTTTTTTTAAAAGGAGATTACTGAAAAAACCCCATTTTTGTTAGTTTTTACATTTAAGATTATGGGAGAGTTGGTCTAGAAAAAAGCCTATGGATTGGCAAAAAAAGGAACCTATATTATTCTATACGGGTACAATTCATACAAAACTACAAGTACATCGTATTGTTATTGTTTGATGGATTGTTCAAAAAAATCATACTTTCGTTTATTGTGTCGGTTCAGATAAAAAAAAATTATTAAATCTTAACCAGGTTACTAGATTCTCAAAATATGAATCCATTTCTTTTATAACTTACAAAAACAAAATCAGATTGAACAAATTATAAGTCCTTTTAAAGATGGAGATCCAAACAAATTGGATTCTCGGTAGCATCTTAAATCTTAGGAGTAAAATCAAATTCAGAACTAGAGTATGATTATTGTTATGCAGTAAAGGAAATCTTTCTTCCAAACAAGACAAAGTATAGACTATTATAAAACAATTCAAACAAGAATACTAGTATTAGAGATTGTGTGATTGTGTGGAATTCAGCAAAATCCTTTCACATATTGGAATAGATGATTACGTCTGTTCTTCGTTTCTGAAAAAAAATCTTAATAATCTTTTTTTTCAATTTCCGGAAATCTATTGATCCAGCATCAGTTAAGTGAAATCCAAAATGACATTGAGGAGATTATTAATTAATACTACTTCGCCACGAGAAAAGGAAAACTACGTACTAAATCCTCAATAATCGTCAAGCCAATCGGCTGGTATTAAATGTGTCGTCTAAGGGTCATTTAATGGTCTAAAGCAGAGCGGTATTCCAAAAGAGAGGTAACAATGGCCAACTTGAAAGACAAGCTGGAAGAACATTATCTAATAAAAAGTTAAATCAATGAAATGTGATCATCCTTTCTTTGTTATGACTATTTTATTAAAAGATTATATAAAAGAAATTTTTTTTTTAAATCAAGATATTTATAAAACATTTAAGAAAATATTCTTCTGTGTTCAATCATATAATTTCTATTCATCCTAATTGATGTTTCAGGTGCTTTTCAATCCTGATTGTAATTTCAGAAATAATTACCTCACATGGTTTTCCATTTATGGTGTGTATGCATGTTTTTGGATGCAGCAACATTCACGTTTACAAATCGAGCTGAAAAGTGACGTAGACTTTGTCTGGATGTAATTTTTGTTGGAATACTTGTGTATAGGTTAAAACATTAAAATTTAAAATTATACATCTTCATCAAGATTATACTGGGGAGAGATGGTAAAGAAAGGACTTTTTAATATATATCTAAGGGGTGTTAAAAAAGTTCGTTCCATGATGAAATATTTTCAAAAATTTCAAAGTAGTGCTTAACTACAAAGATGAATATTCAAGTATGACAAAATCACAAGAGTGTGCTTTAGATTTAAAGCAACTCGTTTCTAACAGGAAATTATAGGATTTTTCTTCCATATGAAAAAATATATATAAGATCTTTGAAGCACATGGCTGATAGAAATGCTGGTCATTTTGAGTGAAAATAAAGTATCATTTACTTATAGCTTAACTTGCATCAGACAAGCTGATGAACGTAGGTATAAGAACGATAGATCACTTTTCAAAAGAAAACGTTTGTTATTTTGAAAATTCTCACCAACTTGATAATTTTTGCATAATATTTGAAGGGATGTCTTGACTTGTGTGCTTAATAATGTCACAAATATACGTCATCCATAATTTTCCTGCACAGGCATAATCTGTTTTAATACCTACCCTCTACTTACTGATTCAACAATAGACAAAACCTTATCAGTTACAAAAATGGACTCTGTAAACATGAAATATCACAACTTGTAAATATCTCAAAAATAAAAGAAAAAATGTGGAATGAACTTTCTTAACACCCTTTAGATTTAAAACCATTTCTTTCTTTTAAAATGATTTTGTATTCTATTTTATCAAAGTTCAGAAGTTAACAAATATTCCCAATTAACCTTTACTTTAACATTTAAGATATATCGACTATGTTTTATCAATAAACAATGGTTATTTTTCATTCCTATGTCGATTTGATATATATATATATAAAAAAAAGACACCACAGAGTCTGCCACCTCTGTTTCATATTTTGATGTTTTATTGACTTTAAACGATAAAGGACAACCAACATCTAAATTGTATGACAAACTAGATGACCTCAGCTTTCATCATTTATGTAGTAATATTCTACTATGACCTGCCCATTATGGTGCTGAATATATACCATCTTATTCGCTACTCGAGAACTTGCTCCAAGGTAACTTGATCCATCTCTGATGTTTTGGAAGACCGTGTTTGCTCTGCTCCTATTTTGTATTATTCTATGAACTTTTGATCTTGAAAACTGTTAGTTATCTCCAGATATTTTATGGTACTCCCTAAAAAGTTGATGTTACAGGTATTTAAACAACCTCATTTAGTGTCGGCATTTCCTTAATTTTATAGTCATTATAATGACCTTGTTCGCAAATATACCCTTTCATTGGGTCGTATTTTGACTGACTTGTTCCATATCAATTGTTCGGACTTGGTTTGCATTGTATACTGAATTGAGAATTTCCGTATTTGATCAATAAATACGGGGACTTTTTCCTTGATCTTGGACTTTGTCTACTAATTTAAAATCAAAACTCAAATTTCTTCCATAAATTTTGAATGGTTTCATATTTACCAGGTACAGTTTATCCATTATCACAAGTTCTTTCTTTGGATACCTTTGACCTTGGAGTTTGAAGCATTGGAGAATTTTATCCTTGACATACTGGGCCATTAAAGTAGTGTTACTTAATTTGTATTCAAAATTTTACTTTTTAAAAGAAAAGAAAAATCATGTCTTAATACATATATTGAACCTTCAATATGACTAAAACCGCTGTCATAAAGCAAATGCCTCCAAGTACACCCCTCCCCACCCCTGAATTTAAAGTAAGTTCTTCCGCATGCAAAATATGTCATTGTTTACAATGCATTCTATTGGCTATTTCGGAAGTAAAAAAAGATTAATATAATTGTTAATAATATCAAGTGCTGTAAAGAGAGTTTCCAATTCTTTGTTACAAAGACAAGAGGTCGGTGCCCCTTTTTTTATTGAAGAATGAATGGTTGGAGCTATAGCTCAGAATGAAATCGTGTTAGAGATTTCAAAAATAGATCGGAATACTAGTTGTCTCAATCTCGATTTAATTATAACGTTAACGGGCTCATATTACTCCCTACGGGCCTGAAGAATTATGTTGTATGAATTCACGACAAAGTCAATAATATCACATGGATGTTATTAACCTCAACATCACGATAATATATGTCTAAGGACTGTTTCTTAAAAAAAAAAGAAATAGAAAACTATAAACCTTCGAAGCCCAGGTCTCAAGACCATAATCTGAGAACAGACTTTTGTTAAAATTTTTATTTTGAATAACTTGTCTTTTATAACACATACGTTAACGTTCTGTTATCAAAATTATTTCAAAAGTTATATTGATTTGAAGTTTTGAATTAAGTCTGTTTTTAGTGTATGGTCTCGGGGCCAGGTGCGACAAAATGTGAAAAATGTAGAAGACAAAAGATGACCTCAACAAAATGCAACTGAATGATGTTTATTCATTTATTTTTTTTCACTTTCTTGCTTCACGCTTTCCGTGATCTTGTGTGAATCTGAGGAACTTGGTAATTTAATCAGCGAAATAATTCCTTTGTACCTAGCTCCTTAATTTGCACGTTTCATCATTTACATGTACTACAGATGTAGACAAGGTTTTTTTTTTCATTTACTCAGAGATAGAATTCTTTTTCTTCGTTAGCTACAATTTGTAACATCGTTACCGAATGTTTTTATCAATCATGACCTGCAAGCAGAAAATTTATGAATTCATTTAGAACGCTATACTTTGATAGCAAGGATAACATTAAATAAAGCCTTTATATCTAGAATTTTATCTACTACCGATGATAGGAACTCTGAAGTATATTTTGTCAGCAGAAACAAGCAGGTGTGAGAAGAGGATAAAAACAAATAATCAACAAGTTAGCGTGGAAGCCAAATAATCATTATAAATATGTTGTACCCCCAAACACCTTTATTGATCGAAACCATTCATCCAACACGAGGTAGCCACTCAGCGGATGAACAGAGTCTCAATTATCTATTAATGCTTGCAGGCTCTTCATTTAATAAACCTTCCTGGATACCGAACGTGTAGCAGATACGTCCATTTAGTGGCTCAGCCAATTAAATCACCCGATAGTGCCACGTGACCTCCGAAAAAGAATAACTTTTTTTTCCACGCAGAAACATTCAAATTAATGCTTTGGTGCTACCATCAATATTTCAGTCAATATTTTGATATGATATGAATAAAAGATTATTTCTTGTGTATGCAGTCAAATTTTAAAGGAAACTTGAACATTTGAGTGCAGACAACGTTATGTAGAAGTTTGGAAGAGAAGAAAGAACTTTTGTTAAAATCTAGAAAAGAAATATTTTGATTTGAAGAAATACGGATTTTTTTAGTTATTAACAATGGCAACATACAAAATTTTGGACAGAAATACCTCTACCTGGGCAACCACGAGTATTGTCGTAAGTATTACTTTTATAATTTAAATTCTTGAAAAGTTTCTCACATAATTAATTTTTTCAGATAATATAAGTAGCTACCAAACTGTTATTTGAACCTCAAGCAGTTCTTTGAAGTCGGATTGGAATCAAGTTCCGGTCAGAATTCTCGCATATATTGCTGAGATATAAAGATTTATATTCGATGTATCTTGCAGCGCGAAGTGAGTTACACTCTGCGTCTTTTGTGATTTTTTTTTAAATTTTGCTTGTCTTTCTTTCTTTTTCTTTCAATTTGATAAAGATTAAAGCCTAACCCCAGATTTCCACTGACCAAGGTTTTTTTTTAACATTCTTAAAAAAATCTTTTACTGTGAAAGGAGCGGAAGAGGACATTTTTACAAAGAGGGGGCATAAGAAGTCCAAAAAAAACCCTTCCCTTAAATCTCCTCTTTTTTCTTTTTTAATGATGTTAATAAAGGTATTTTAAGGGAAAAAAAATTATTAAAATGTTTTACACTTGTTTTACACTTTCATGTAAAACGTCAGATATATTTATCATCAATAAAGTTTGTTTTTACACAAATTGAAAAGATTTTAAAAGAAAAGGGAATCAAGGTGACCAAAAGATGTTGGATATTCATTTTAAAAGATCTTCGAAAATTGTTTTTTACTTCTAGAAAGAATTACCATTAGGAAATATTGAATTATGTATAACAATTGCGTACCACATTTTAACTGATGTTCATTATTTGATTTCTGGTAAAATATTAAGTGCAGGTGTATGGAGTTCTGTTCCATTGTAATGAGAGAGAGGGGATAAGAGAAGTGTTCATGTCTTTGGAATAACTTTTTTCAAATAAAGTCTTCGAAGAAATTTAAGTCAATATTGCAGTAAATTTTCACTGAAGATTTTTGTAATGAAAAAAAAAACAAATCACAAATGACATTTTTATTTTTGGGGTGCGTAATCGACCGAGCCAACAAACTCACACTTCTTCCATAATAAAACTCCATTCAAAAGATAGACCCGAATTCCGATGAGTGGTCAATGGTGTCATAATTTATCTGGATTCTATTTTCGGCTCGAATCGTCAATCTTCGATATAATAATAAGATTGGAACCATAAAATCAGATACCGTCTTGTCATATATAGTGAAGGAATATCAAACATTAATTGTCAAATTTATTACATAATAATGCATTATCATTTTTTTTTATAGGCAAGATATAATTAATCAATATATTGCAATCCACTTTCAAATCAATTATCAGTTAAAATATGGATAGTTGCTGACATAAAAGGAATCTTAATGTAATTTGTCTCCTAAAATAGCATTTTAGATAAAGATATGAATTGTAATTGTCAAGAACCACTTGTGAGAAAACATTGATAAAAACCTTTTGGGACAGCGTCAATATTTTTTCTAAACCATTTTCGATATTGGACTTTGTTTTTGAATCCTAGTTCTTAACCATATGCATAGAAATAGATGGATCAATCAGAGAGAGAGAGAGGCATAACACCTGAGAGAGAGATACATACTTAAAGTCAAAGGTTGCATTGTAGGCATTATTTTCAAAGTAGCGGTCAGTGCAAATTTTTTTTCCTATTAAACATCACGGGCAGATCAAGAAATTTTTCAGGGAGGGGTGAGAGGTGTGTGGGGGTGATTGGGGGTATTATCATGTCCAATCTGTCTAAATGCAGAAAAAAAAACATTTCAGGGTTAATAGTTGGGATATGATTCCCTGCCTTTAGGTTCTTAAAATAAGTGTTTTTAACTTATGTTTTTCGATGAATCATTCTGATTCCACTTTTACAGTACATAAAGATATCTGAAAATGTTGTATCTGATATATAATTAAAAAAAATATCTTATCAAGATCTCGGATTTGACCGTTTTAAATACCTTGCTCGTTGTAACGCTTCATAATTACATGTACTTTGGGAAAAACAAATTGCGAAGGAGGGTAACTGATACGGATTGATAACCGATTTTTTGTCGAATGAATTATGATATGAAATCACACATACATTAGTCTCAATAATATCTTTAAAAGTTTTAATTTTCTTCAACAAAAATGGTAAATTCCCCGTATCAGCTGTTTATTCTTACACAACGAAAGAGCAAAGATCATAAATTTTATAGACTTTTGTAATGAATGTGGATAGTGAACTGCTGCGATTCGACTCACTTTCTTAGGTTTTTGCTGTACATATATGTGTCATGATTGTCTATCAAAATTCAACAGATCTTGATGGAAGCTTTTTCTTATCCACACTGATAAATACGAACTACTACTTTCCTTTGTTACTTTGTGGAAAAATGTCTGTGTTGACATTTTCTGTTTTCTTTTACTGAAGAGTTCTACAAGAAGTAAAATAATTATATTTTTATTTTGTTTTCGCAAACTGTTTACAGTTCATGGTGAAAATCCCAAGGAGTGTTATCATGAAGGTCTATCCAGCACGTTATCTGAAAATATTTTGGTTTTTTTTTGTCATTATGTCATCGATCTCTTATAAACATCATTCGAGCTACCTCATCTGTAAACAAGTCTCTCCTTGCAGGCTCTGTGGTGAAGATTGTATAGTCTCGTATAAATATCCATGTTATCATCACAGATATACGATATATAATTCACTCGGTGTCAATCATATCATTCTGGAAGTTTCCAGACAGGATGCTCTAGGGTTATCGCCCCAGACTGTCGTCTTCATTTATCTCGTATAAAAAAGATGGCGCTTTTCCCCCATAAAAATGTTAACATCCGAAGAGTGAATTCGGAAACTTTAATGCGGATGAGAGAGAAAGAGAGAGATTGAGAGATTTAGTCCCGTGCAGAAATAAATTATACATAGATTCATTTACTTACTCTTTCAGTGATGGGTAAATTGATTTTTCTTTCTTAATATTTTTCTGTACCTACATGTGTCCTTAAAAATGAAAAAAATGTTTGTGAAACACAAAAGCAATGGGCTTGACTGAGTTATGTTAAAAATAACATAAATTTGCCAAGACAGATGAATACTAGTTTTTAAAAAGATTACAACAACTACTGCGAGTGAGTGAATGCTGTTTAAATGAAATTCATATTTTACTAGATTTGATCGGCTTTAAATATCGAGATTTTTTTTTCAGTAAATTAAAATATCAGTAATGTATTGGAAATGATTCCCTTTCACGTTTAAAAAAAACCCAGAGAAATTACTTTATGTAATTTTGTAGTATTTAGATAATCAACATTTTATTTCTTTAACAATTTACCATCATCATCTACAAATAGAGTTGATGCTTCCCAGTTGATTCAACAAAAGAAGCATGCTCTACGTATGATCAATTTCTTAACGAGACAAGTCATTGACAAATAGAGGAAGTAAACATTTCACTAATTCCCTTGTTGATACAATGACTTCATCAGTAAATAAATCTATCGTTGACTGACGTTCTCGACACAAATTGTTACACCATTATTTTCACACTGAGTTATCTAGGAATTCTGCCCGTTCTGTCCGATGATGACAAGGAGCACACGGCGGTGTGATGGTCGATCAAAGGATGCTCACTCCTCCATGGCAGGTGATCCAATCTCCGATGTTTTTAGAGGACCGTGTTTGCCCTGCTCGTAAGGCTGTTTAAAGTTAATTCTACGTTTAACGTCACATCTAAAGTTCAAAACCTACGAGGGAGGGAGGAAAAAAATAAACAAACAAAATTTTCAAACAATTGTGAATTTATTCAAATTAACCTATTCAGTACATTAAAAACATTACAATTAAGCAATATGAGCATTTAATTAATATGGCACCTAAGATTAATTTTCCTAGCAGAGTTTTTCCTTAGTATGTAAATCAGTTTGAGTCCTATTGTTAGCGAAAATGTAGTCTAAGACTGAATGTGCAGGAAAGAGGCTTTTAACTAGGCCTCAGTTGTCCTTTGGATTTATATTGCCACACGTCCATGGTACCCTGTAGGCATCTGCTTCTTCTTGTGGGAATAATTGATCAATATCTACAATTAAAATTATTGATGACAAAATTTAAAACATTCTTATGTTGAAATATCCTGAAATTGAATTATGTTGTATTTTTTCTCATAGTACTAGATCTACTAGCATTTAGTTTTGAAAGTGTAAATACTAATATTTTGGCCATAGCTGTTAGGTTATCTTAAGTACCTTGAATTCCACACAAAAGACAGGATTTTCACTTCTTGGAATACCCAAACCACTTTCCTTACTCTCCTTCATTTGAAAGGCCCTATAAGCTTCTCCCTGCTCAAATGGTTAAGACAAGTATTATCTTTTCCAAAAATTGTAGCTATTTGTACTGGTACATGAATTATGAAGAAATCAATTATCTTACTCATTACTGTTCCTTTCGATTTTTACAGAATTTTTTTTTTAATATTAAATAAACTAAATAAGATTTAAATGATGCTTTTCACTGTATATAAATATTGGTTTTTGACACACTTTCCACTCAGTAAGAAAGTTTTTCGATTGTCTCCAAAATACAATGAAAAGTTCAGCCAATAATCACGAACTGAGAGTCTGTCGGTCTGTACATGTGATTCGAATACTGACAAAAAATCAACAAACTAGACTTTGTCATTCACTTCAATCATAAAATCATCTATATTTTACTTACATTTATGGTCCCAAGCTCTTTAATTCACTAGTTTTCTATAATAAGACACCAACTGCCTTTACTGCGACTATCAAAGCACATTTTCTGTTAATAATATCGCTAATTGTAGAACCAAACCGGAACGGACATACGGAATTCCGAATTGTTTGTTTTTTTCAAAGACGAATTTCTCATAAACCTACGCGCACGGGTGACGTTAAACATAGTTTTAATTTTAGACAGCCTAATTTGCATTGTTTCATTGGACTTGTGATCTTGACTACTGTTTGTTATTTTCATAATATGTAGGCCTAAATTGGCCTTTTTAAAAAGTATTTACGCTTTCTTTTTAATGTACCTATGAACAGCCATGCATTATTGTAAGCAACC